TATTTTAGTTATTTAACCAACAACGGCATTTACAATGTGCCAGAATTTTCTACACTCCTTTCAAATAACAGCTATTTTAATCCTCACAACAACTCAATGAGATAGGTTCTATTATAGAGGAGGAAACTGAGGCACAGAAAGATGAAGTAACTGGCCCGGTGTTACACAAAAGTGGCGAGACCAAGATTCAAACCAGGCTCACTGGCTCCAGACTCTCTGCTCTTAAGCATTACGCATTTTTTAAAGTTTTCTGAAATAACCAACCAATGAAGTGAGAGGTGAAGCTACCAATGGCCTCTGCATACAGAATTGGAAATTTTAAATATTAACAATATTAGCCCATAGTCTCTCATACAGTGAGGATTTTATTTTTATGAAGCCCTCTGGAACACACAACACTCTGGCGCCACTTGAAAAGGTGAGGAGTCAGGGCCGGCCCTGTGGCTTAGCGGTTAAGTGCGTGTGCTCTGCTGCTGGCGGCCCAGGTTCAGATCCCAGACGCGGACCGACGCACTGCTTCTCCAGCCATGCTGAGGCCGCGTCCCACATACAGCAACTAGAAGGGTGTGCAACTATGACATACAACTGTCTACTGGGGGGCTTTGGGGAGAAAAAGGGAAAAAAAGGAGGAGGATTGGCAATAGATGTTAGCTCAGGGCCGGCCTTCCTCAGCAAAAAGAGGAGGATTGGCATGGATGTTAGCTTAGGGCTGATCTTCCTCACACACACACAAAAAATTAAAAAAAAAAAAGTGAGGCGTCATTTGGCAAACTGGTGAGATCGTTCAAAATAGTGTGCTCACTTATTTAAGAGTGGGACAGAGGCTCAATGAAGAATAACAGAAGGCCTCTCTACTCCAAAACACCAATCATTCTCATGGGTTCTGACAACTGGAGAGTTGTGTGAGTTCACAAGATCCTCTCCTGAGATATAGATACCCTCTCCGATAGTTTGGTCTATGTCAACTCTGCCTTGGCATACGTTGTTTTAATTGGACCAATTCTTTGCTGAGAACAGTCTCAATTTTTATTTTGTGCTATGGAGGGAGAGAAGGAAATGTCCAACTAAACCAACTATCAACACTTCTGTCCAATTTTTTTTTTTTTTTTTGTGAGGAGATCAGCCCTGTGCTAACATCTGCCAATCCTCCTCTTTTTTTGCCGAGGAAGACGGCCCTGGGCTAACATCCGTGCCCATCCTCCTCCACTTTATATGGGACGCCGCCACAGCATGGCTTGCCAAAGCAGTGCGTCGGTGTGCGCCCGGGATCCGAACCAGCGAACCCCGGGCCGCCGCAGCGGAGCGCGCGCACCCAACAGCTTGCGCCACCGGGCCGGCCCCTCACTTCTGTCCAATTTTTTCCCTCCTCACCTCTGAAAGATTATTCCTGCTTGAGCCTCTGAAACCAATCCTGTTCTTATGGAGAACATCCAGATTAATTAAAGCAAACTCTCTAGAGGTGGGTCCACATACTGGTATTTAAAAAAATTTTCCAGGTAAGTCTCTTCCATACCCAGGCTTGAGAGGCACTACTCTATATAAATTTCTCTCAAATTCCAGTGTGCGTACACATTACCTGGGGATGTTGTTAAAATGTACTTGCTGGTTCAGTAGGTTTGGGTAGGGCCTGAGATTTTGCATTTCTGACAAGATCCCGAGTGATGACTTTGGTGTTTGTCCATGGACCACTCTTTAAGCAGCAAGGTTCAAGACCAGTGGTCCTCAAAGTGTGGTGAAAAATCACCTGGGGACTTGTTAGAGATGCAAAATTTCAGGCCTCCGCCTAGACCTACTAAACCAGAAACTGGAGGTGGGACCCAGCAGTCTGTGTTTTGACAAGCTTTCCAGGTGATTCTGCTGCTCACTACATTTTGAGTGAAATATAACGCAAGCCACCTAGGTAATTTAAAATTTTCTAGTTGTCACATTTAAAAAAGTAAAAAGAAACAGGTAAAATTAATTTTAACAAAATATCTTATTTAACCCAATATGTCTGAAATATTATCATTTCAACATGTATCAATATAAAAAAATTAATGTGAGGGGCTGGCCCCGTGGCTGAGTGATTAAAGTTCTGTTCGCTCGTCTTTGGCAGCCCAGGGTTTATGGGTTCAGATCCTGGGTGCAGATCTACTCCACTCATCAGCCATGCCGTGGAGGCATCCCACATACAAAATAGAGGAAGATTGGCACAGATGTTAGCTCAGGGCTAATCTTCCTCATCAAAAAAAAAAAAAATTAATGAGGTAGTTTACATTTCTTTTTTTCATACTAAGTCTTCAAAGTACAGTGTGCATTTTACATCTATATGACATCTCAGTTCTGACCAGCCACCCATTAAGTGCTCAGTGGCCACTTGTATCCACTATATTGGACAGTTAAGATCTAGACTTAACAGCCATGATAACAGCATTAACTTTTATTGAATGCTCGCTTTGTATCAGCATTACTTAGTTAAGCATTTTATGTGCATTATTTATATAAGCCCTACCACAGCTCTGTGGATTGGTACTGTTATTATCCCAATTTTATACAAGGGAGGGGTTATGCCAAAGCTCTATTTAGTGTCTTACCAATATAAGAAGCCCACTCTAATATAAACATTGCCAAATTATTTTAAATGTTTATTCATAAAAACAAAAAAGAGAGAAAGAATATACATAAAATCGTTAACAATAGTATGATTAGTACAATTGCTAAGACATCAATAGCTTATAAAAGTCATAGGAGTTGAGTAAGCAGAAAATTCACAAAATTCCAAATTTACTATCCTCTAACCTGTTAAAATATGCCTAAAGTCCACCTTGCACTCTTCTGTGACATCAGATCTATTGAAAGGTGCTTATTGACAGGCTGTTGGGAGAGTCAGGATCTTTGGGGAACAAAGGAGACCTTGGTGAGTCACGTGGCAGGATAGGCTTCATCCAAAGTGGAAGTAGCAAGCAGGGTCAACGCCTGTTCGTGCAAGTGCAGATTTGGGCATAAAATGGCTCTAATACTAGTTAAATGTGAGGCAATGGGTTTCTCTCAGTATTAACGCGGAAAGCAGGCAGTTTGGCATTTAAAAATAATAGTTGACTTAGTAGTCAAATAGTTAATCTTTACTTCTTTAACTTCCGTAGTTTCTCAAGGGAGGCCAATTTTTAAATGTATTTTCCTTTTCTTTATAAACGACTATAAGAGGGAACAAGTAAAAACAATTTGAGAAATTTCTATCTGAGGCTAGGCTTCCAATTTTTTGCCAGAATTGCCATTTATCATTTTGACCAAGTAAAGTAAGTATCCTATTTTAAACTGACAGGTATTTAAGACATATTAAAATGTGACCATTTAAAATAAATGAAAAGAAAAATGCATTAGTCCACAGAGATTTTTTTTAAACCCTGCTGTATGTTTTTTAAATAAAGTTAATCTTATTTTAAAATTTTGATGAGATATTTCAAATGTAAGTTGTAGTCTTTTTTAATTTAAACATCTGTGTGGTTTTAATATAAGTGTATTGCACTGAAAGATTTCACTATTTCACCACAGCACTTGAAATAGCAGTCATGTAACTTTATTTTTTACATATCATACATAATCTTCAGTATTTTCTATAATCAGTTTCAGTGTCTTTCTTTAAATGCAAAGAAAGAATTGGATTTGAGCTGAGCCCATAGTAACCAACCTTCATAATATTAACTATAAAAGATATCAAAGTGGTTTTTATGCTGGACTAGGATCAGAGAATCTTCTTCCACTTTCTTTTACCTCTCAGAAGTACCTTCTGACTGCTTAAGCATTCTCTTACGGGGAGTAGAGAGTTGAAAGAATTCGGGGATTTTATCTACATAGAATAAAGGCTTTGATAAAAATACTGAAGTGTTTCCTTGATAGGAAATAACTAATTTTCCTTTTTAGGGCTGTTGTAAAAGCCGTAATGAAGCAATGGAAGCCGGGAGTTGGTCTGATGACTCATAGTATCTTCCTTCAGTCATAGTAGAAAGATCTGGATGTCCAGTTGCTATGGTTTGAATAGTCTTCATCGTGTGAAAAAGAAGCTATAAACGTTTGTAACAAATTCTTTCTTTCTTCTTTACTCTTGCTGCGTTTGTGGGCTGTAAACCTTTCCAGGCAAGGATGCTGTTTATTTTGCCCACTATTGTACTCTCAGAGTGCCTGGGATATTGTAAGCTCGGAAGCACTTGCCATGTAAATATTTGCTGAATGAATGAATGAATGAATGAATGAATACAACTTTTAGATCTTAATTTATAATTTTAGAAACAAAGTGAAAGCTCAAGGTTTGCTGGTCGTTGTTGGTGAACCAATCTGAATTATTTCTTCGTTGGCCTTTGGAGGCAGAAGCGGGAGATTGGTGTCTGTCTGCATCATGTCACTGAATGGTCCTAGTCTCTGCCAACAGATAAGAAATGTCAACAGCTTAACCCAGTAGCTTTCAAAAATAGCCTAGTTGATGAAACTGGAAATTTGGGTGCCTGCTAGAAATAAACCATTTGTCTTCAGTCTTGAGAAGGATAGGCTGACAACAGATATTCCTCCCAGAGAGATCTAAAATATTTTTAAGACCCATATAAGGGAACAAGTAAATATCAGCAGAAAAGTCTTCCCTCTCAATAAGGCACACACAAAACATCTTATTTTCAACGAATCAGGTAAATCATTTTGAAAAGTTGAGGATTATGGCAAGGCACTATGTTTCTTTAAGATTCCAGTCAAGTTTTTTTTTTCTGTTGTCTTCAAAAGTGCTGGCAGTTTTCCTCCAAATTTAAATGAATATTTGCACAGTGAACCAAGTTGTTGTGGGTTTCCTGGTTTGTGTGCCCCCCCCCCAAGGGGGGTGTGGCGATTTGGGCACGGCTTTTTCATCCCTTCGCAGACAACTCCGGCTGCTGTTAATGCTGAAAATAGCTCAAATGCTTGCAGAACAGTAGCACCACCCAGCAGCCGGGATTCTTTCCCTCTCTTATTCGCCTTCTCTCCTGCCTTTTTTCCTTCAGACACTTGGATTGGACTTAATCTTAAACCTCTGGAGTTCAAGACCTTTTAAAAAGGGCTAAATAAACAATCTCTTCATCTGAAAGGCCAATGACTCCTACTTCCTCTGCTCAGAGCAACTGTTGAACCCAGCTGCCTGTAGGTAAGATTTTTATTCTAGAATTATTTAATTGGCTTATGATATGTTTATGACTAATGTTTTTTAAATAACTTGTTTATAGTGAAAATAAACGGGGGTTACCAATGATTTCCAGGTAAATGCAGTGTTCCAGAATACAGCAGGAGCATCTGTGCGTTTTTGTGGCTGTGATTTTCAACTTTGCTTCAAGCTCTCTGTAATGCTGACCTGCAGTACACATTCGCCTATGACTGAACTGCATGAGAGCTCTAATTAAGCCTGATTGCCAGAGCAGGGAGAGGGCCTTTCAGACATCATAATTTTGTTGTTTAGACTGCTTACTTATTTTCGACTTTCTAAGGGCATTTAAAAAAAAAAAAGGAAAAAAGATGCAACCACCTGAGTAAAGAAAATATATTAGTTCTAAGGACAATGAGCTAGCTCTATTTTATTTTACTCTTTCATCACTCTTTTGTTCATTGCTCGTGTGGAATTAGAAGTTTTTGTTCGTTTTGGGTTTTGTATATTCCCAGCACAATTTGGTGAGTCGGTTTTGCGAATTTCTTACCTAGATGAATGTCTTCGCCAGCAGGTTTCTCTAATGTGACAGCATACTATTTTGGATAGTTTTCTCGGCTTCTCCTCTCCCTCTCCTTATGCTGGTGCTTGACATTTTGCACAGTACTTTGATCTGTGGACTTGAACTTCAAACACAGCATTTACTTTGATTGTGGGTATTTACTATGTTCAGTAAAAAGTCTTTTTTTCTTTTTTTTTTTTTTTTTTGGTTTAATGCTTTTATCCATTTCCTTTACATAATCTAGTGGACTTTGGTTTTCCTTACTGATATGTCTTGGGTTTTACTAGGACAGGGACTCCCCCAACTGAAAGGCAAAGACTGTTTTATGGCAAGTTTCTCTCACCCTTGTAGATTTTATGGCAATGCTCTGCTCCCCTCCAAGCAAATGTCTAAAAGCAAGCAGCAAATGACGGGGCACAGAATGAGTCTGCACAACCCCTCCCTTGAGTGCCTGGCTGCCTCAAAATTACCATGTGCCTTGAGGCCTAACTGTTGCTTTTTTAACATGGACACTGAAATCCTTGGAATTTAAAGATTCTTGTTTCCAAAGAAGTTTGTTGGTATCACAGACCACATGTCAAAAGCAAACATGCATTTTAAACACACAGTGATCTTCTGGGTAACACAAAAAGAAAAAGAAGAAAAATTTTTAAAAAGGAAGAAAGAGAAGAAAAATTTTTTAAAGGAAAACTAGAAAAAAAATAATAAAAAGGAAAAGCAAAACCCTCTGTAGCCAAAAGTGTGTTGTGCTGGTGAAACTTCTGCTGAATGAGGGCTAAGGAATGAAAAAAATGTATTTCCTAAAATAGGCAAAGTGTAGCACTTTCTGGCCATTCAATCAACTTTTAAATGTTCTCTTTATTTTGGAGAAAACTCGTGTGTATTTTACATTTGTTTGTTACCCTTTTCTTCCCTACCCCGAGCAAGAGGGCGTTTTCAAAGTCCTCAGCCAAAAACTAAGTTTGATGTTCCCTGACAAGCTGTCCCTGTAGTTCTGTGAAGGTTAGGAGTGGAATGAGCCTAATCCTGTCAGGAGACTGTTTAAGTCCCAGTCAAGGACTGTGGCTCCTCAGCTGACACAGTCTGCTCCCTGTACCCTGCACCTTGCTAAGAAGGAAGGAAGCAGGTGGCCGTGGGACAAGTTTTCAGAGGGGTACAGCTCTGGAGCATGCTGGGAGAGGTCCCTCCAGATTAGGAGCAGAGGCAATATGATCTCTAGAATTTGGATTCATAGCAGGAAACCTAGAGATGTTCAGTCCAATTTTTTATTTCCCAAAGCTGGACATTTAATTGCTACTCTTTCCCCTTCAAATCTGCATTCTAAAGAGCATATTAATCATCACATTTCTGTGATGAGTGTACAGTCAAAATTTTAAATCCTCCAGTTTTTTTGAGCATGTACTTTCCTGCCTTTGGGGGTCTAGAATATTCTCCCGCTTAGTACTAGGAAGCCTTGATTTGGCATTGCTGAGTTCAAATGTATTGTTAAAGGCGATACAAGTTCAGTTGCAGAATCCACTGGCACCGGAATGAAATGGGTTTGGAAGATAATAGACGGCCATTCTGTTCTCGGGCAAGCCATTTTTTCCTGTTTTGTTGTTTTTTTGTTTCTCTTCACCTTTTAACTTTACTCTGAAACTTTGGTTTGTTTCTGAATGTGAAACTCAAGGTGAAACCTAGCCAAAGCCACTAAGTTTCACACAGGTTCCACACGAAAGAAGTATTCTACCCAGCCTTGCTCGAAACTTGGCCCATGTTTTGCCAAAAGATTCATGAATGTCAGCGAGCCTGGACTTGAAACATAATCCAAAGCCAGGTGACTTCTGGCGACTTTGAGGCCTTATTGTATAAGTATAGAATCTGTCAAACAAGGACATCCCTTATTCTCATATCTTCTACTGTGACTTCATGTGTACACACATTTTTTCCAATTAACTCCCATTTTCCCTATGATATTTAAAGCCAGGTTCACTCCTAATATGAGTTTTTATAGCTGTGGTATTTAAGCATTGGCAAATACAAGTATGTATTTTAAATTCCAACACAGACTGAACCACAGTGGTGTGAACATGTTGGTATAATTCAGCTGAAGGAAGGAAGTCCCAGGAGGGTCATAGAATGTCTTTCTTTGCTTAAATATACCTCTGTGCTCTTGAGGAACAAACAGTAACATTTTGTCCAGGTCTATCCACTTGACAGTATGCCTTTTGTTCGCTCTCCAAAGGTGGTGTCAAATATATTGGTGGAAAAATAATAAACTTCCAGATTTTTTTGTGTGTGCTCAACTGATATACTCCTAGGGAACATTGTAAGCATTGGAAGTTCAGTACTGTTACTTGTAATGTAATGTATACTGAGAATAAAGACATACTCAGCAGAGTCAATTTCCTTCAGAAAAGCTTGGTGACCTACAGCCGATGTGTGTGTTTACAGTAAAATGGGGCTGGGTTGGGAAGGGGTGTATGTATGTGTGCTGAATGGGGGTAGGGTGGTTTGAGAAAATTTGTAAACTTTGTTCAGCAAATCTGTCTATCTAAAACAAAAATAATAAAGCCCAGGATCTGAAAACATTCCTTTCTTTTGTTGATCATCTAAATTTCTGTTGGCTGAACATTGAATTTTTTCTGGTATTATTTTTCTCATTAAAGACACCAGGAATTACATTCAGATCATTAGGATTCCAGAAATGGTAAACAATCTCCAATGAAAATAAGACCAATTGGGAGACCTACGTAGTTGTAGATGAACTTGCATGAGCCAGGCTCAGAAAGATCTTCATGGTTCTATGGCCATTATAGATGCTAAGCCACCCAGGAAACTAAGATTTCACGTGTCATTTTATTCCTTGGAGGATTTCTGAACTCATTTGGATAATTTTCATATGAATGAATTTGTGACCTCACTAAAAATTTAGTTGGACTAAGTTTAGTGAGATTTATAGATAGATATTCATTGTAAAATTAAATTGCCATCACATTTCATTTTGAAAATTTTATAATCTTATTTTTATTTAATGAAATAGGCTTTTTATTAAAGATACAGTCTGCCTTTTAGGAGGTGACTTGCAAAATGACTGTAATTGATCCCATACTAAGTAAAGCATTTGAAAAGCTAACAATAACAAAACTTGGGGTCCCCTACATAGGCACTGCATTTTAACACTGACTTCACTGTTCATAGCGTAGCATTTATCAACATATCTAATTTTGATATCCCAAAACTGATACAATAGGGCGGAGGAAAGGAAGATGCTCAAATGGAGATGCTGGAGAAAATGATTCATGACCTTCCCACAAGGAGGTTCTCACTGAACACATCAATGTATAAAGAATGCAATCTTTGAAAACAATCATCATCCACAATAAAATAGGAAAAGGGAAAGGGTAAATATACCAGGTTGAAAATAAACACCAAATTTGTGCATATGCAAATATTTCTTTAAATCATAAAAAGACCTTCTTCTTTCAAGAATGACCTCACTAGTCATTTAAGAATGCAAAAATCAGTCACTTAAAAATCTCCTGTGATTGACTTACCATCAGAAAAATGGAGTCCACGTAATACTTATCCATTCCTCGAGGATATATTACTATAGCCTAAATTTAGATATGTATTGCATTTGTTTTCTTAAAAAAAAAAGTTAGTATTAGTCTGATCAGACCATGATGACATAAAACAGGGTCCCTCCGCTTGACAAACCAAAGAGGATTATTTACCTGGAGCAGATGAAACCATCTTTTCCAAGAAAGTCATCATTCTCCGCCTAAATTTTTATTTGTTTTTGGATATTTTAATTTTCTCTGAAATAGGAAGTACTATTTAAAAGGTGTTTTAATAATGACAATGCCAAAACACCACAACGATCTTAAAGCCTTTTCTCTCACCTATCCAAGATGGACTGTCCAAAAGATGTGGGCATTTCTTGTAGGTTTAAATGCAGAGACTGCTGTCAGGAGATAAGTCAGGTCTCCTGAATGCCACTCTCTTTCCTGGGCTGTATCCTGGGCATCATGGAGTAGGAGACCCTAGGGACCCTCTAAATCCCTCCTATACCCATGGGGAAGTACAGCCCACTTGGCCGTGAGTTAGAATGGAGAAGGGACAAGGAGACTCCTCTTTCCTCTGGACTTGGGCTGAGGGCCTCCTTAAGTGTTTTGGTCCAACTATTTATTTTTCCTTTTCTCATGGCATTATCCGTCTTTTCTGTTATTTCCACTTCTCTTTTTTCTGGAGAAACAAAGGTCTTCCCTGCAAACTTCACCCTTCTTGAGTTGTTGAAGAAGGAAAACTTCCCAAGGTAGCTAGCTCTGGGGGCTGCAAGATTCATACAGTTACAAAGCTAGCTCATGGCCCCCTGAGTGAGAAGAGCGTTTGCGTGTGTGTCACAGGTAGAGCTGTGTTTAATAACTGAACAATTCATACCAAAATAAAAACAAAATGGAGA